CCCTAGCCCAACACCACCCTCCCCTGCGCCTCCGTAGCCCAACACCACCCTGCCCTGCGCCTCTGTAGCCCAACGCTGTCCTCACCTGCGGCCCCCCTAGCCCAACACCATCCTCCCCTGCGCCTCCGTAGCCCAATGCCGCCCTGCCCTGCGGCCCCCTAGCCCGACGCCACCCTCCCCTGCGCCTCCGTAGCCCAATGCCACCCTGCCCTGCGCCTCTGTAGCCCAACACCGCCCTCCCCTGCGCCTCTGCAGCCCAACGCCACCCTGCCCTGCGCCTCTGTAGCCCAATGCCGCCCTCAGCTGCACCCGCCCTGCCCAACACCACCCTGCCTGTGCCCCCCTAGCCCCAACGACACCCTCCCCTGCACCTCCCTAGCCCAACACCGTCCTCCTCTGCGCCCCCCTAGCCCAACGCCGCCCTCCCCTGCGGCCCCCCAGCCCAACACTGTCTTCCCCCGCGCCCCCCTAGCCCAACACCGCACTGCCCTGCCCCCCCTAGCCCAACGCCACCCTGCCCTGTGTATCCATCTGCGCCCCCCCCTGCCCAACGCCGCCCTCACCTTCGCCCCCCTCACCCAACGCCCCCCTTCCCTGCGCCTGCCTAGCCCAATGCTGCCCTCCCATGCGCCCTCCTAGCCCAGCTTCGCCCTCATCTGCACCCGCCCTGCCCAACACCACCCTGCCCTGCACCCTACTTGCCCAGGGGAGGGCGGCGCTGGGCAGGGCGGTTCAGGGCAGTGCAGGCGCGGGGTGGAGCGGGAATCGGAACAGGGCAGAGGTGCCGCCCACCTTCTGGTGGGTCTGGGTTCAATTCCCAGGTGTCCCCAAATGTTAATACCCATGTTACATACACAACATTCACACATATGTCCGTGAACACATGAGCACACGGGCAGAGGGCACACACACAAACAAACACAAAGGACGGAGGGAAGGGCAAGGAAGAGCAGAGGGGACAGCAGAGGGGAAGGCACAGGATGGCAGAAGGGAGGGCAGATGGAAGGGGAAGGGAGTATGATGGGAGGGAGCGTGGAGGGAAGTGGGGGGGATGATGGAGGAAGGGTGGAGGAAGAGTGGGAAATGGTATTGTGGAGGGATTATTGAGGGAGGGTGGAGGGAGGGAGGGAGGGAGGGAGGGAGGGTGAAAGGGTGGAAGGATGGAGGGAGGGAGGGATGGTGCACCATGCATTTCACACCCCGGAAGACAAAATAGCCACACGGCTCTATGGGGCCGGAGGCTTCAGTGTTATTAGCATATGCATCATTCGCACCCACACGAATCCCCCAGGCTCCCTGTCGTATTTAAGTCATTCAGCCGGCAGCTCCCCCGTTTGTTTGACTGGACATTCACAGAAGAGCCACACACATAACCAGCAGAGGCACACAAACGTGCGGCACGCTAAAACCCGCCATCAAGCCTGTAATTTATTTAACTTCTGGAGAGACACCCCCAGACTCCCGGATGGGCAGTGGCAGGTGTTGTGTCGTGTGCGGGGTTTTTTAATTGTTTGGATGTTGTGCACACAACACATGGGTGAGGGGCTCTTGCTGTGATGTTTCGTCTCACCCCACAGCCTTCACCACACAGCCTCTGGGGGTCAGTTGTTTTTTCAAATACGCCATGTGATGCCACCACACGCCGCCCTGATTCATTTGGAGGACACAATATCCGAATGTGTCAGAATGTCTCGACGACGCCGGGGTTATGGGGGATGCATTTGCAATACATCCAAAGCATGATACACGTCGGGTGCATGCAATGTGGTATGGGATGTGGGGTACGTTTAGACTCTTTATATGGGACAGAGGGCGCAGGGTCGTCCAGCTGTGGAGGGCTGGAGAGAGGTGCCGTGGGGGACTCTTTTTAACATCTTTTACACAAACGCTATTGTGGAGGAACGCGCGTTTTTGTGGGTAGGAATGCATGTGTTTTGTCTTCTCCCACTTGTGGTGGTGTAAGTTGTTTTGAGCCACACCACCCTGTGGCGCACAAGCGAGATTTTGTGCACACGCAGCTGCAGCTGTGTATGTGCATGTGCATGCATGTGTTCAAAATGCATATTCGTTGCCGACCCGTGGGTTTCTCTCTGCCCCGACGACGCCCTGTGGCGCCCTGCTTCCCGTATGCTAGTTTTAGCACGTGTGGAACAACTTAGGGCAGAATGATAGGTGTGATGGGAGCGACAAGCAAAGCTGTCGTGCTCAAATGCAGCACACTCAAATGGATGTTCGGCGACATCCGAACGCCACACACAAGCACCTCCACAGACTAAAGCGGGTGATGCACATATAGACGTGTACATGATTTTTGGGGACATGACCTGGTGTATGGTCCCTTTCCTCTGAGCGGCCGCACAGCCACGGGACCAAAACCCATGGCCTCGGGAGGCTGATGCGCCACGGTGTTGCGTGAAATGGCAAACAGAAGCGGTGCGTCCCACCACAGAAATACATGAGCCTCTGCCAGGACATGTTCAGTTGAACCCACAAATGAATGCGGGTCGCCAAGGAAATGCACATGCACGTATGCCCCAACAGTTGGATCCTTCATCTTCGCTGCACCGTATATGTCAGCTGCTTATATTTGGGAGGCGGTCAGCACCCTCCAACAATAAGCATTGTTCAACATTTTGGATTGTGTTGTGTTCGCACATCCATTTGCGTGCTCCATTTGAGCACGACAGCTTTATTTTGCGCCTCCATCATACCTACAGTTCTGCATCATTCCACACGTGCTAAAATTAGCAAACGGGAAGCAGAGAGTGCCACAGAGTGTCGTCGGGGCGGAGAGAAAGCCACGGGTCGCCAACGAATATACAGAATATACAGCTCTAACGTATACACAAAACCCTAACGAATTTACAATTCTCAACACATACACATGCACACACACAGTAGCTGCGTGCACACAAAAACATCTCGCTTGCACACCACGGGTCGCCAACGAATATACAGCTCTAACGCATGCACATGCACACGCGCAGCAGCAGCTTTGCGTGGGCACAAAATCTTGCTTGCACGGCAGGGTGGGCTGTGTGTGTGTGTGGCTCAAAACAACCATGTTATATCTAACCAAACCACAACTGGATGGTGGCGTCGGAAGACACCAATTGGAAGAGTTTCGTCCGCTTAAATAGCGGGGGATGCGGCCATCCCATGAATCGTACAGCCAGTTCCGAAATGGCGCGGTCCAGTCCCGGAATGGCGTACCGTTGATCCATGCTTCCAATAGATGACGGGGCTCCGCGAGCCCGGGACCAGCGTCCCAGTTGTAACCTGTGCTACGACCCCGCCCATACTTCTGCAAGTATGGACTTCCACCTGAGGCGGCGTCTACTTGTAGGCATCCATGACAGCTTCCCGCTCGCCGTCTAACCCAGAGGTCGGAGCCACAAGATCTGACAGAAAGGCGGCAAAATAGGCAATTGGAATTCAGTTAGTTCCAGTGAACTTGTCCAGCAACCGCGCCAAGCGAGAAAGGAAAAACTAGACAGCAAAATGTATCAGTTTGGGACCAAATTTAAGAAGCGTATTACAACTGTAGAGCCCAGTATAGAGCATAGAA